ACCTACGTGTCAATGATAAATATGTCGAGAAAAAGGAAAAGACTTTTAGATCATTAGATTGTGCATTCATTATACTATTGATTATAATATGTTCGATTTTACATTCCTGACAATTATTACAAAATGCGAGGAGCTACCGTATTGAGAACCCCTTTCCGGTTATCGACAATTTTATGCTCGGGTCCTATCATACCAACAGTTCCGTACGCTCCATCGTAGTCCACGCGCCACCGCTACAATTTTTGTTTTTGAACACTTTACATTGGCCCTGTTCATCTCCCCTATAATCTCTGAGTTAAACCCCCCGATCCGGGCCTCTACTGAGGTCTATCCTCGGACCCGGCTCTCATACTCCATTGTTCGATACATTGTGCACTTGTTGAATTGGTAAATAATTTTGATAGAACCATTTTTTTTTAGAATGGATGAGGCTATTTATTCGGCTCCTACCTACAAGTTAACGTATCAAGATCAGATTTATGCGGTCAAATTATCGCCATACGAGTGGTCACAGAATTTAATTTGTATTGCGTTTGGTGAGGAAATTTCTGTTGGAACTGTCAAATTTCAGGTAGCACTAATTTTAATCATTTATCCACAATTTGAAAACTAGAAGATGAAGTCATTTGATTTTTTTACCTAGGATGAAGAAGATGTAGCTGAGGACGTTGTTTACACTCCAATTAGAACGTTTCATCATGATACTAGAGTTCACTCGATGGCTTGGAGTCCGGAAACTTCGTTGAGTGTTGTGCCAAAAATTGTGGCTTTTTGTATCGCTGGTGCTGATTTTAAAATACGTCTTTATAACAGTAATTTAAATGATATCAATACTTATGAGGTAATTATCATAATTATTAATTTTAATTAGACTTGTACTGAAAATTCTATTAGATTTCCCCCCGTCCTACTGATAAATTCAGCAACTTTTGCGTGCGTTTTTTTCCTTTTCTTGTTGGAAATTTCCAGTATAAAAACATGGAAAATCTAATACGACGAATTCATATAGAAACTATCTTTACAGAATGAGTTGTATAGAAAGATCAAAATATTCATTTTTTCCATCTATTCAAAATTGTTCTTACTAATTGTGTATTGTCTTTATTTATCAGAATGTAGGTTAGTCTATTTGAATATTCCTGAGTTTAATTTCTAATGGCAATGTCAGGATTGGAATGAGACAGGTTCAATGTTACAGTGTTTTATTTAAACTTTATAGGATTAACTGAATAGGAGAGGCTGGGGGAATATGGACACAGATTTAAATAATTAGTTGAATTGGATCAAATAGACTGTTCCGACTTTATTTAAAAGTTATAAAAACAAACACATTGCCATAAGACTGCGTCGTAGGAGTGGTAAGGTAAAGCAAAAACGGGGTAAAATGGACACTGATTTCTTCCTCAATTTCATTTGTTTCAACAATATTATTCAATTTCTGAAATACTAGTCATGACTGTGATTTTCAAATTAAAAAGAAAGACTCATTTTTGACTTTCGTCGTGAGGGGTGGTAAACTAAATTTTTCTATGCTCATTTATCCTTCCCTCCCTCCATTGTCTTATGGTAATTTCGTTTGTGAGTAGAAAAGTAGCCATCTTACAAACTTCGCAATTGGTAAAAGGTCAGTTGTATAGGACGTGCAATTGTTCATTGAAAAAATCAATAATTTTAAAGTCATTTCAATAGTAACACAGAAAATCCAAAACTACTCTATATTTCACACCTCAATGTAAAATTTAATAGAGTTGAAGTTTATTTGTTAATATCTCTTCCAATTCTAATTTCTGTCTATAAAAAAATACTCACGATTTTGTAAGATTCTTCGTTTTACCGCTTCGCTACTGAATTGATTAAATATCCAAATGATAAACGAACTTGAGTCAAACTGACCCTCGTAAACATTCAATTTCCATAAAAATATCACTGAATAAATTCGTTTATAAATAACAATTGTTTTTGGAACATGAAAGTTGAATAAGATGGGACTTCGAGTGCAGAATATAATTTACAGATAAAATATGGGTTTCTATGATTTGTTATGTGTATTGCATCAGAGATTGTTGGAGTAAAGGATAAGGTCTGCTAATTTTGTTCTCATTCGTGAAATCTGATTCTTGCGATAAATATTACAAATTTCTTCATAATTTCTGCGCAATTAGAGTAATATCGAAATAATTGCATAATTCATTTATTTTCAGGTACTTTCTGGTCACAGAGATTATGTAAATGAAATAGCGTACGAATCAGAGGGTGAATTAGTAGCCTCGGTGTCAGACGATCACACCTGCAAATTGTGGGCTGTGAAAGAAGACCAAAAATGCATCTCATCGTTTTACCTAACATCTCCAGGAATGAGTGTTTGTTGGCACAAGGAAGAGTCTGGAAAGCTGCTTGTTGCTGAAAAAAATGGATTAATTAGGATGTACAATGTTAGATGTGAACAAGCCATTATGTCTTTAGACGCTGGGGTAGTTCCACTCTCTTCGGCTGATTGGGCACCGAATCCGTTGAAAGTTGCGTGTTTAGCTGCTGGAGAATTATTGGTTTGGGATGTCTCTAGACCGAGGTAATCAATAATTACATAATTTTTTCAGCATTCATTCAATTCAATCATCTTGTAGAAGAAGACGAGCGCAAAAGTTGGGCTGATGGAAATTTCTCTACCTGAGACGCAAATTATAGTATCTTAATTTTCTTTTTTTCTCATTTTTTCAGTCGACCCCTAGAAACAAAAACCATCCACGTAGAAGGAGGAATATCCCTGAAATTCGCATGTGGAAATGAAAATATAATCGCCAGCATTGGACGTCCAGACAATGTTTTGAAGGTGACAAATTTACGAACAAAACAAGTGGTCCTCAGTGCAACTGTTCAACTCTACGGAGGCATCACTTGGCATTACAAACTACTTTATATTTGTGCTGCTAGTGACAGGGAACTCCTTTTCTGGAGGATTAATTCCAAGTGAAACAACATATTTTTCTTAAATCGTGCAAAACGAACTCGATTGTCTCCAGCTAAACTGCCGTCTGTACATACATTTATATCAGTTTTTTACTATTTTAGAAAATGAAATAAAGAAAAATGGCATTTTTTGAACCCAGTTTTCAGAAAAAGTCAGATGAATATCGATTATACGAGTTATTCTGCAAATAAACCGAAAATTCGGAAGAATATTTGTTGTCGAATAATAATTAGGTACCAATGACTGTTTTTTGAAGCCTCTTTTCAATTCTTTATCCTAAAAAACCCCAGCTCAGTATCTTTGCTCCAATAAAGAATTGGATGACATAAGCAAGTTTAGCCAGACACGTTCTTTCTTCGATTCAGCGAAAGGAGATTATTTGAAAATTATTCTCATACGCTCGAATCTGAAACCTCTATGGAAAGGTTTATTTCTATTAGAGTCTGTTCACTGTCGAATTGACATTGGTATGGAAATTCTTGGGGTAAGATTTCCATTTTTTTTCCTTTTGTTCTTTTTCTTTTTTTAAGGGGAGACTACTAAAGGTTTTAAAAGTCGCCGGCTATTGGACTGGGATTTCTCATGCATTGAAGATCGATTATATGGGTCTAAAACGAATAATTAGTGTAAAAAAAATAAATTAAATTTGACGCATTAGTCTTTTGTGATTCGACTCCTACATAGCTAATTTCGTTTTGTACATATTTGTTCAAAAATTTTGAAAAAAAAACCCTCTAGCTCAAAAATTGGAGGCCCTGGACTATTTTTAACATTTTAAGCGTCTGTGGGGCAACCGAACAATAAACAATTTTTTTTCACTAATTATTCTTTTTTAGACATATATAATCGATTTTCACTGTATGAAAAATTTCATTCCAATAGCCCGTGACTTTTAAAACTCATAGTAGTCTGCCCTTAAGTGGCGGATCGATTTTTTGTAATTGCAAGTTGATTAAACACACATTTGTTTTTAATGAAAAAATAATGACCAGCGGTGTTGACTTCGATCAGCTTCACTGGGTTTATGTACATACTTTTACATATTTTTTTCAACTGTATAAAAACAAAAATTTGCGAATCTACGTAGGTACCATGGCTGATTTCTTAAGAAGTTGATTGATTCTCCAATATAATAAAACGCAAATAAAAAAAAATAGAATTGCTTCAATGGATAAATGAAGTGAAAATTCAATTTCTTTCTTAGAAAGAAAAATGGAAAACAGAAACAGTTGTTTTGCAATAATTATGCAAAATATAAATAAACGTATGAAAAAAAATAAAAATCGTAACGTGTGAGAAAATGTGAAATGGGAGCATTATCTTGAATACTCTTTTAGTTACATAAATTCTTATGAGTAATAACTGAGTTACTTTTCACTGAAAAAAGTCGTGGCCCTCTTCCAAGCATCGATGGCAGTTTTCTCAAAACAACTCCTCACTTTCTCATTCTCAATGAGAGTCCCCAGTTCAGTTACTTTGCTATGAATCAGCATTGGACTAGGTGCGCACACGCGTTCTTCAACAAACTTTTTCTGAGCTTGTCTCGCCTCGTCCAGTCTCTTCAACAGTTCATTCTGATCCTTCTTGTCTTCCTCCTCATCACTTTTCTCACTCTCGGTCGCATTATTCTCCGCAGAAATCAACGAGTTCTGTAACTTGGTTATTTCAGTCATTCTCATCCAGTACTTGACAGTCTCCTGATCCAGGAGGAACTCCAGGGACTTCCCAACGAGTTTAGCGACAAAATCGACTGAAGTTTCCTTTTTATCTTCCTGAATCTTATTGATGCTTCCAAGCAACCAATTGAGTAGTCCAAGGCACAAATATATTCTCAAACTTTTCTGAACTCCCTTCACCCCATCCTTTTCTTTCTCCTCGAAATAAAACATCGAATTTTCGTCCGCAGGACTGACATTTTCCAAAATCGAAAGAATTCTAATGAGGATTTCCTTCTGAACTTCAGCAGATCTCCTTGAATTCATCAATTCATATTGAGAAATTGCCCCTAGTGCTTCAACAAGATGTCGAGCTCTCTTGTCTTCATCTGGAGCGGCAGCAGCCAACGCAATGTCTCTGCTGATCGATAACCAAAGCATTGATTCAGTTTGATTGATTGCATCAGCTAGAGGGTAAGTAACTTTATCTAACTTGTTATAGAACGACGGAAAGTTCTCCGCACTCATCTCCATCACTCCAAACTTGTTCTTCAAGTTTTTGATTAATCCATAAGATGATTTTCCCTTCAACCAGCTTTCAACATAATTCGTCTCAAATTTCTCATCAACTTTCTTCCTTATTTCCTCAAGAGCTTCTAACTGAATTAATCGATACTCCACACTGGGAAATTCCTCCAATAATTTCTTAGACTTATCGTAATTAAACTCCGATAATTGTAGATTAAAAGCTTCTTCAACAATGGAATCACTCAACTCTTGATTGTTTTCCATACTCGCTAATTTGGCAGCTGTTACAAGTGTCGAGGCATCTTTTCTCCTTGCTAACATTCGTGCAGCCTCTGAGAAATTTCGATTAGCTATCAGACACAGTGCAGCTTCCTCAAAGGAGCCACTTTTGCTGACAGCAGCCAGCCACTCCTTACTTAACTCCTTAAAAATTTCATCGTTAGAATCTAATTTGCATTTGGCTATTACATAAGCTTCTTTGTATAATTTTGCCTGCATCAAAACCTCAATGGCTTCATAAATCTTATGGAGACTCAACAAATAAGACGCAGCCTTCATTGGATTCCCTTCTTGAATCAGCTGATGGGAGTAAGCCTCGCACACTTCTCTCCAGAATTTCATGCTGAGATTGGGAGCAAGGGAGACCATGAAATCACTCAATGACTGTGTCTCCATCGCCCTGGTAATTGTTTCTTTCAATTTGTTGTCCCATAGACTCATTTCCACTGTCATCATCAGGTGTCCCTGCTCCCAATGAGTGTCCCTCTCCACCTCCAGGATGTTTGATATCACGTCTTTGCTTCCAAAAATCGTCTGAGAGGATTCGAAACCTTTTACTTGCTTCGCCAACTCCAAACAAGACTGGAGCATTGTTTCTTTATCGTTTATTTGCTTTCGGTAATTTGGAAAATAAGGAATAACTTTTTTTGCTCGCTTCTTATCCTTTTCCTTTGACTTCAGAATCTCTTCCATTGACTTTTCATTTGAGTTTTCCGCTGCTAAACCTTCAGTACAATTCACCACCGACTTTTCATTTGTTTGGGATATTGAAGTGGATTTTTTACTTGATTTTTTCGATTTACTTTTTGTAGTGATGGGTTCTGCAGTTGGGAGCACCACTTTTTGATTTGAAAATTTCCAAACACGAAGTGACCAGTCGGAAGAACCAGAAAATATTAAATTATGATCCAGTGGACTCCACATAACTGACTGCACTCCACTGCAGTGGCCAGTGTAGGTTGCAAGTATCTCCTGTCCTTCGATCTTCCAGACTTGAACAGTGCTATCAGCACTACCTGACACTAGATATCCACTGATGTGTGGACTCCAGGCATGTGAATAAATTCTATCAGAATGACCAAAAAGATTTGCTATTACTTTATAGAAATTCTGACTGGTATCTTGATTCTTCTCCTCTTTATTTAACATCTCTGTCATACTCGTCATGTCGAAAACGGCAATGATGGGAGTGGTGGTGGAGGCAGCGAGATAATTTCTAAAGTGAGAAAAGTTCAGGTCTGTGGCAGTGCTGTCTGGATGCCAAGTGAGGCACTCCACTGGTTTCTTCAGCAGGAAGATTGTTTTTCCAAAACTTTCAAGTTTTTTATTTAAAAATGATATAGATCCATCATCGTGGCCAACAGCTAGGCAAGAGTAGTCTGGTTTCCACGCTATTTCGGTGCAGCTCTTCTTGATAAGTACCTCAGGCCCCTGCTGAGGTTTATCATAATTGAAACAAGTGAGTTCTCCATCTCCACAACAGTAGAGTGAATACGTCGATGGGGTTTTGTCATTCGAAGGATTTGCAGTTGAAGCACTTGGGCCCCATTCAAGACGATAGATAGTCTTTCTGTGATGCATCTTGAAGACAACAGGACGTTTAGCAACATTAAAAATATCGTAAACTCCAACTCTCCCTTCGCTAGTTCCATAAGCCAAGAGATTTTCCTTGTCAGGATGCCAGGCTATAGCAGTTACTCTGTCTTTTATATCTTGCCAAGCAGTGATGATGTCAAATGTTGTTTTATGAGGCTCCGATAAATTCCAAACCCTTAACATTCCATCACCCACACCAAAAGCAATCCTGGACGTATCCAAGGGACATGGAGAGATACAGTACACGTAACCGGAGAGTGTGGGGATACTGTACTTAATTCTCCACGTATCATCTTCCTCTTTCAGAACAATGCAGATCACTTGACGCTCTTGTCCGGTCGTCCAGATCTCCCTGTCTTTAGATACCATTTCCTCTTTCTCTGTTCTCCAGTTCTCATCGTCAGATGGTTTGATCTCTTGTCGTGTTTGTGGTTCAATGTAACTTGATATTGAGAAGATAGCTCTGGAGTGATGACCGTGAATTACCCTCCAGTCTGGTCTCAATTTTCCTTTAAGTGCATTGAGTTTGAGGGACAAGAGTTCACCGAATGCGGAATTAGCAACGAGAATACCAGGCTCAACCCAGAGGATAACTGTGAAGGTGCTGGCATTCAGTTTCGTTCTGTGTGTGGTGTTGTCTTGAGGAGAGCTGGGAAGAGATACTTTAACTTCGTATCTACCATCAGTTGCAGGCCTCCAGATGTAGATGGAACGATCCTTGGCGCCTGAGGCAAGGAGATAGTCTTTGGGGAAGTCCTCTTTGAATATGTTGAGGGGTGTGGGACACCAGGAGAGGCTGACGATTTCATAATCGTGGCCACGAAGTTTATGGATTATTTTCCCGTGGGAGTTAACGATGTAAATGAGCCCTGATTTGGTGCCTATTGCAATGAGATCGGGGTTGTGAGGACTGCAGGAGAGGCAGGTCGCGGTGAACTTGCCCAAATGAAATATTTGGCAAGTGTTGAAGGAGTACTGCCAGGTGAGGAGAGAGCCCTGAGTGCTAATGGCACAGATTAGGTTTGGGTCGCTCTTAGACCAGTCTACGCTGATTACTTTGTGCTCCGATTCGATGAAGCTCTTTGAAGCGGTCATCTCGAGCTTGTCGAGGTCCCAAACTTTAATGCAAAGGTCATTGCCACCTGTGACGAGCAAGTTTCTCCCTGGTTGGCCATAGTCAGGGCAAAATGCTAGAGAGTTTATTTTATCGGTGTGGATGTTGGGAATGTTGGCGTAGTTGAGAGCTTGGTTGTCCTTTGAGTTACGTTTAGCCACGATCAGACAGGCTTTCGCAGCCCACGCGATAGTGCCATCTCTAGCACATGCCAATATCGTGCTGAGGTACCAGTTTGGGGCTGCGGGAAGAGTCACTTCGTTCATTTTTCGGATCTTGAAAAACAAAATTTTGCCTTTGTGATAATTGCTTGGATTCATGTGTTAACTGGAATATGTTGTACTTTTACGAAATATTTGAGGTGATTAACATGGATAAGATTATAGTGGTCGTGTTTCATTTGCAAGTAAATATATTGAATTTTGTATCTCTGCAGACGGAAAAGGTTTAGAGGAAAGATGTAGAAACTTCCTAATAAAACAAGGGTATCTCAGAATTTCTGAATAAACTAAGGTATCTCTAATCTTATGTATTGTATTTGTTTAACGTACGTAATAAGTATGTAAGGATTGTCATTTGTGTAAATTCATACAAAATCATTTTTTTCTTAGTGCAGAATAAACCTTATGATTTAAATGCTTACAACAAAAGAAAACAAAGGTATCTCAGAATTCCGAAAACTCATGTAACTAAGACGAAATAAAAAAAGATTTATCTCTATAACTCTGATTAAATACTGTGCAAGTGGTACTCATTTTAATACGTATAATTCCCAGAGAAATCAGCAATTGTTTTACGAAACCTGCTTATGCACATAAGTCCTGGCTAATCTCACTCTCACAATTTCTTTTCCCTGTATCCGTATTTTGATTCCGAGTCATAGAATTCAATATCTGTTCTAAAATAGAATTATATATCTATTCTAAAACTCCACTACACTCGTTTCAAGAGATGATTTCAATTTTCCTATTAATGAATTGTGGATTGATGATCTATCCACTCAGTTCTCCCGTTGAATCCTTGATGTAATCACTCCACTCGTTCCTCCCATTCATTTTTATTAATTCTGTAGCATGAATCTTTTAACATTATATAAGCTAAATTAATTTATACTATGTTATTTCATTTTATTTCCATTTCTGTCTTCACAATTAGATTAATTTAATTTTATTCATTTTTATTGTTATTATATGTATTTTTGTTCCTTAAGTCACAAGTTACAACACTGAATGAAGAGAAATCAGAAGCCGCAGTAGCTGCTTGCACCATGTGTATGCGTAAGCTCTGGCTCACGGCTTTTATACATTTAGTTTTTTTAGAGCTACTATTTTTTCATCTCTTTTTTTTCATCATAAACATTGGAGCAAAAATCCATACGGATGGATTTTTATCACTGATTTCATTAATATGCGCGAAAACCGTTTAAAATGAGTTTTTACATGCAAAAAAATATTCGTGCCTAGACACGCCCACTTTTCCCGACTTCTCTAAAAATTCCCCATAAATTACATTTTTCATTTCTTTCTTTTTCTTTAAATTAATTAGTACCAATGATCTGAAAATGTGAACGAATATGAATACTTTATATCCCTTTGATCTCATTTCAATGGAACCGAAGAAGGAAATTGCAAAGAGAAATCGATCATCATCAATCAGTATCAATAAAGTAAAAAAATCTATTTTTCTATGTCTTCAAAATTTTCCAAATTGTTTTTTTCTTCTTAAAAAATGAAGGGAGATTAACATTCTCCATTCCTGTAATCGTATTACGTTCACAGAAATAGGAAATACGGAAAGTGGAGGGAAGGAAAATCAGAAATAAATTTTAACAATCAATTTTTCTATCGTGAAAATTTCAAAACGTTATTTTTCTGAATAAAGAAGAAAAACTAAAGTTTTTTCTTTCTATTATCTCGTTCCGATGGAAGAAAATGAAAAGAGGATGAGAAACAAAATCAACACAAAAAAAGAATTTTTAATTTTTTAATGTCTAGAAAAAATTTTAAAATTCATGTATTTTTTCGAATAATGAACCAATACTCATAAATTCAATTTTTATCGTCACATTTTCATAGAATACATGAAAAAATAGCAAAGAATTCAAATCGGCGATAAAAAAATTTACGAATTATTCTTATGTAATTCACAATATGTCGACTGAATCGGTTAAAAACTATTCAATCAGCATTAACGAAATAGTTTTTTTCTGATTTCGTTTGAGTTAGACGATTATTCCCCGGAAAATTCAGACAGATTAGTTGTATAGGGAATACTGAGATACCTGTTTGTTCAGAAATTCTGAGATACCCTTGTTTTAAAAATAAAAATGAAATATTCTTGTTCTATTAGGAAGTGTCGATATTATTTGTAGTAAAATTGAAAGGCTTCAAATCACGATTTTCTGATATTTTAGTGCAAACTTGACATTTTTTTGAATAGAAACAAGATAATGTAAATAAAAGTTTTCAACTGATTTGTTTATATTATCTCATTTGAAATTTGTCATATTCTCTTTTTCTTTCATTTTGTCTTACGTTGATTCAAACTCGATTACATTTATTGATTTTCATTTTCATTATTATTGCCCTGCCGCACATGATCTGAAAAAGTATGAATTGTATCAGGTAAAAGGGGCGGAAGTCTCAAATAGAGGAACAATTTCTTTTCAGATCATTATGCGTTAAATGCTTACACCCTGTATATACACTCCAAAATTAAGCTGACAACGTAAATAAAAAATGTTGAGATGTTGTTTGCATTTGCGTTTTTCATACGCTTTTAAATCTTTTGAGGTTAAGCTGCGTGTAACAGTGCAAATTCAATTTTTCCTATGAATGAATGTAAAATTTGAGTAAATGACAGTCTTACTAAGAACAAAAAAACTCTGTTAGTACAGATACTTCGTTTTTTGTTCTTGTACATTTATATGGCCTGTACGTTCATGTACGTTTATGAAAATTTAAAGGTTAACCGGAATGTGAAAAGGCGCGAATGAAATAGCCTTGTAGAAAAATATTGAATTCATAAGATTAATTACTCATTCAATGTCTAGGAAGATCCGGAGCCCCTTTTCGATTAATTACCTGTAAACTCGTTCGTTCGCAGCGGATGTCTTATTATTGAAAGTCCTTATATAAAAAAAGCATGCATTGGAAACTGTCATGGCGGTGAGCATGTAAAAAGTGTCATGGCGGCGCATGAAGGATGCATTCTCATCATGAGAATGAGCAATGCGGCCGCAGAGATAATTGGGGACGCTTAATAACAAGACGCCCTCTATGAATGTCTGCGTAAGAGTGCACATCTACGATACTCAAGCAAATGGGGGCTTATGTAAGCGCGTGTGTGTATACCTCTTTGACGGCCATATTGGCCAAAAACAGCGCCCTCAATGATATTTCCTGTTCCCAATAGGGGAGATTGCGGATGGGCGACAAAATCCCAAAGGACCAAAATCCAAACCGGAAATGAGGGAGGGGGAATGCTGAAGTAAGAAGAGGTGCCATCTAACGATCGGAGTGAATATAGTATCGCGNGTGCCATCTAACGATCGGAGTGAAATATAGTATCGCCTTGTTCCTGCAGATGGCGGATGCAATATTAAAAGAATGTTGAAATCAAAGATTTTCTTCGTTTTGAAGGCTTCGAAAATCACGACGCGATGAGAATGCTACCGGGAGCGCCCGGTATTTTTTTTTTTCACGGGAAATATTGATCAAAGAGCAAATTCATTACAACAATAATATTCCGTGGCTATCGGACGCTATCGGAACAATTTTCATTAAAAAGAAATGTTTTGCAACAGTAGCAAGAGTTTATCGGGCGAGAACTGCTACAATTTTTTTCATTGAAAATAATAGATTTTCAACAAATTTTTAACAACATTTATACATGCAGGCTACCGGGTGGAACCGGTACTTTTTTTCCGAGGGAATATTATTTTTCCAACAATCTTTGACAACAATAATATAGGCAGTCTACCG